TCCTTGACCGACTTCACTGAGTGCACACACGCGCGTCCAAAATGGTCGCGGTTTCCAGAGGGCCACTTAAACACACTACTCCACGGCCGATGCTACAGGGGCGTATATACGCGACATCCCCTCATGCTTCACCGCTCTCTCTCTATCTCTCTCTCAGGCCTGGCTAGACACAGTTAACACTAGCTTTGGTTCCGTCAGCGGACACTACTGCTTGAGACAGCAATATTGAGAGTTTTGTGCACAACGAAGCCCCCATTTTGGTGCCCTCGGCTTTTTAACTACAACTTGAGAGTTGGCTTGATGATTTCACTGTTTGGAGTACAACTCCTAGTCAGACGCTATAAACTCAATGCAGCTGGAGAAGAGAGGACAGAAAGCCAATCACACCCGCCCTCCGGTCGAGCGCTGCGCGATTACGACGGGTGGGGGAGGGAGGGGGCGAGGGAGGAAGGGATTGACAGACACATAGCATTAGGAAACAGTACGGTTACCTTCGTAAATGGCGTCACAGCCATGCCTTTTTCGCCCTCGACATCTTCCAAAGGGATTTCAAACATGCATCGGTAGTACCTGGAAGGGCAGAGTGTAGAGGGGACAGAAGACACATAATTACGCGAAAAAAAGTCATACAAATTGCAAAAAAGCAAATTGTTGCATGCGCAGGTCATGAAATACCTGCCAAAAGTCAGTAACACTGGACGTTCGATTGGATATAAAAAGACAGGTGGTGACTGCAAGCATCCTAGTTAGCCCTGCCTATAAAAATAAGCCGAGATTTCTGTGGTGTAACACACACAGCATCTTATTGGTGCCAAATTCATTCCATAATGGCATGCGGATACTCAATTAATTTCGCGGGACATGAATGCGCAGCGCGTGGAAAACACTATCATTTAAATGGCAACATTTTCGTGGGCACTATCAACGGGGCGAGAGACTTGTGGGTGCCTACCATCCTCCTGACTTTGTCATACCACTGAGTGAAGGAGAAAGAGAGAGATGGGGGGAGATGCTGTGCAGGTCTACTACTACTTCTTCTACTATCACCAACACTACTAATATCATTATTACTACTACGAATTTACGGCTATTACTACTAACGGTACTACCATCATCAATACAACTAGTAGTAGTTCTTACTACTACTACATTACGAGTACTAATCCTACTATTACTAGTACTTCTCACTTCAAATGCAACTAATAATACAATTACCAGTACTACTACTAATACTACTACCGCTACTCATACCCATACCACCACCTTAATGTTCTTACTACTACCAGCATTACTACTGGTAATATTAATTCTTTTTACTGCACTAAAACAATCATTGATATTACTACTACCAGCACCATTATTACAACTTAACCTACTGCTACTACTAGTAGTATTATTAGTAGTATTACTACTACTAATTCACGCGCAAGTCACCGTCCATGCGCCCAACATGCGCTGGATCACACGGTGAACCTCGTTGAAACATACGTTCAAACTGTCGTTGTCGTCGTATATGAAAGATGAGCGAAAACTGCAAGTGTTGCCCATTTTACCCGCGAACGAGTGAACTGCGTAGAGTTTGCCACGAATGAGACCGTTGGCATTTGAGTGGAATCGGTCTCTGGAACAGTCAACTTTATTCGCCTGACGTTTCATATGCATACTTGGTAAGAAACAGGGAGCCGGTGACTCAAGCAGCTCTCGGCTCACGCGATTGCTACCTCGTATGAGAAAATCCGTTTCATGCGCGTGTGCGGCCGAGTCCTGTGACAATCACGCAAACCTCGCAAAAGTGTCGCTGAAGCCCTCCATGAAAGATTATCGCGGTCCTTTAATAACGTTCTTAGTCGTTCGCAGCATGAGTTCTGCAATGCTGACCATCTGCAAACATCGAAAGAGAAATCAGACCAAAGCCTGACTCAACGCAGTCCATCGGGGACATGGAGATGGTTCTCGAACCTTCGGTGTTCGGTCGCATCTGAGTCAAACTCGACAAACTTTCTGCCGCAGATCACCACACTTGAGCAGATGCAAGGACTAATGTAATCGGGACAGACCAGATCAGGCGTGGTCTCAGACGTCCTAATTGCATGATTCAGGGCAAGTACAATTCACTGACGTGACACGTAGCACAAGATAAAGGCACGCGACCTCGATTATTCTGTAAACCTTCAGAATTAATAGCAGCAACAGTACCCGAGGCAACAGAAGCTGCAGTAGTAGTAGTAGTAGTAGTAGTAGTAGTAGTAATAGTAGGAGGAGGAGGAGGAGGAAGAAGAAGAAGAAGAAGAAGAAGAAGAAGAAGAAGAACTAGTAGTAGGAATAGTAGTAAAAGTAATAGAAGTAGTAGTAACGGTAGTGTGGTAGTAGTAAAAATGCTAGTATGAAACCAAGAATCGCCTCGAGCCCGCCCAAATCCTCCAGCTCCAAAAGCACTGTCTCCAGACGTACTTTACCTTTAACGGAACCATCTACGAGCAAGTGAAGGGAACACCCATGGGTTCACTCATTTTTCCAATCAACAATGCCAGTAGATGAGTTAATAGTAGTAATAGTAGTCAAGTAGTAGCAGCAGCAATAATAGTAGCGGTAGTGGGGTTAGTAGTAGTGGTATGAGTAATAGTAGTATTAGTAGCAGTAGTAACGATAGTATAAGTGATGGTGGTGGTGAGAGTAATAGTGCAGTAGTAAGGATTACTAGTACAGTAGTCGCCGGCTATTAAGCCCACCTCGGGCCCAGACCAAA